TTCCAGCTCAGCCATATCTAGAAAATAGCAAGATTTTATGGGCCAAATATTCAACAGTAGGACCCAGGTCCCAATGTCCCATATATTTAGCTAATAGAGTCACGCCACCCTTCCTTTTGAATCCTGTTAGACAATTTATTAATGCACTTCACGGTGCCACATCACAGTGAAGCCCTATCTCCATTTCCAATGCCCTATTGTTAGTGTCTGCCTTAACTGTTCATGTGAAGAGTGAAGGGATTCTAACAGACTCCTGTCATTCTTGCTTACTGCACTGGTAGGGCTTCCTAGATTGTTTTCCCGACTTTCCAGACTGAAGGGGAATCTTGGTTGATTCATTTCCTATGCAGCCCCTCTCCATCCTCAGAAGCCAGAAGGCAATGGCTATGAAGGACACCATCTATCCAGGGTGGGGATAGGCTAAGAACTAGCCTTTTCTTTCACTGTTGGGTCTTGGCCCTTTCAGTCTGTCTTCAACCTGGGGGCCAGGAAGGTTCTCCAGATCTGCTCAACTTCTGTGATCACGAAGTGTCTACAATAAGAATCTGTGGAATGGGCTACAAATTTGACTGTATACTAAAATCACGAGGAGCTCATTCTAGAAGCCCCAGGACAGCCAGCTGCCGCACTGGAAACCCTCCAGGTGACGTCACTGTCTCCCTAAGGCTGAAACTCACTCGGGCACCATCTTCTCTTTACTTCTCTATGTGCGTCCACGTGAAATGTTATTGCTCAACAAAAGAAGGGTTAAGCAAACCACCTCCCTTCCCTCCCTCCTTCTCTTCCCTCCCTGTTGTACTGAGATCTATCGGACCACATTCCATGCCTGCATAAAAGGAAGGTTAGAAGACATAAGCAGATTTCTGACCGTTAGAAACTATCTCTAGCACTTTCCACCTGAGCATGAATTAAAACAGAAGTCACTTTAGCAACTTTATGAACAGCTTACCAACGTTTATTGCGTTACTGCTTGCCTCTGTGAAACTCTGGGTCAGTTGAATTATCTGATTTGTTTTTATCAGTTACTATAGTTTTCTCTTTTAGGATTTCATGGTGCCTATCAACCTACTGACTATAAAGCTTATTTTGTGTGCCCTCCTCTATGTGTTGATGTGCTTTCAGCAAAGATGCATATTTCTAATACCTCTGAAGACATTCTCAAAATGGAAACCTCTTGGTTGACACACACGCATCCGTTGTCATTTTCCGGATGCTTGCTTGCTGGCAGCTGAGAGAACTTCTAAGTGGATAAAACATATCCATCTTGGTCTGTGCTGAGCAGGAAGGGTGGGCAGGAAGGTCGTGGGAAGGGTCCTGTTTAACACCTGCGAAACGGTCTGAACATCCCCTCTGCCTTTCTCGTCTCCTTACAGATTAGGGACTTGCAATGATCTTAGATCTTTACTGATTGAGGACCTATGGTGTCAGGTAGTTAGATCCTGAAAGCAAGTCACTCCTTGGACATTTTCTGATACCATCTTTTAGGTGCTTTGGACTCTGCTTTGCTCTTCATGCTGACAGCGAGGTGATCTCCTCCCTTAGTTCTTTCATAGCATTAGAGAGCATAGAACCTGCCTATGGACAGAGTCCTAGAAACCTGGCATGTGTGATTCTTTTACTCTGCCAACAATTACCTTCCATCATAATGCTTTGCAAGGCTTGGCCAAGATTCAAGGAAAGCATCCATGCGCTATTCTTGCTATGTCCATCAAAATGTGTCCATTTCATTCACCTACTTCTTGGAGAGAAGAATGCACTGAACACTAACTTAAGCAGATGGATGTGGCACCCATTCTATGCTAGTTAGCCAGTGTACTTCCTCAGGAAACACAGAATGTCAATCTAATGGCCATGCATAGACTATACAATTGGTTATAAAATCTGTATGGATCTCATAAAATTGTGGGAAATATAGAATAGCAAGGGGACGTAATAGTGACAATCACATTATCCCATGACTCAAGGAAAATTGCTATTAACATTTTGATGCATCTTGCTCAAGTCTCATTCAGACAGTCATGTGGGACTGCTGCAATTCTCTTCTCCCTAGCTACCTTATCTACCCGAGAGAACAGATGTGCTTTTCATCTCATTAGATGGCCCCCTAAACTCTGTGACTTATGAACTAGCCAGTAAGTAGCTTAGCATTGTGTGTGTTGAAGTCATTTTTGAATATCTGCAAAGATACTATGGTGATGAAAATATACATACCTATCATGCTCTACACATTCTCCCATGTGTCCTTAGAATAAATATATACTTGAAAAGCTTCCAATATGTATTGCTGAGCTGCCTTCCTGGAAGTTTCTATCTGTTTCCTCTTTCCAGCATTTTCTTTAGAAGTCTCAGAATCCCGTATTACTTTTAAATGTTTCCTGATAACTTGGTGGGAGAAAAAGGAACAGGAAAAAGAGGCTGGAGATGGCTCAGTAATTAAGACCATGTACAACTCTTGCAGAAGACTGGGTTTCAGTGCCCAGCACCCACACCGGGTGGCTCTCAACTCTCTGTAACTCTAGCTCCAGGGGATTCAGTACCTCTGTGTGACTATTGGTATATTTGCCACAGGTTCTTTCTAGCCAGGAAGTACCACGTATAAGGGCAGGCTAGCCCCAACTCACATGTCCACTCCACTGAAAATGTGTGCATGTAGAAAAAAACAAAACAAAACACTGCTTTGTCTTAGCAATGATTTGTACCAACCTTGTGAAAGGGACAAACGTTTCTGTTGCATGATGGATAAATGAGACTATGTTATGTTATTGTCGTAGGACTGTATGATTCAAATTCTCCGTATAAAGCATTTTTAGTTGTGAAAGATGTCAACAATGCTTACCATTAGAAAATATCGGGGAAAGGAGCCAAAAAAATCTCAACCTTTTCTTCCCATGGGGTCTGGCTGTATTGCTCAGGCCGTGCTACTGGAACTCAGAGGGTCAAGTGCTCATCCTGCCTCAGCCTGACCCTAGCTGGAACCTCAGGTGCACACCTCAGCACTTGACTTTGAGGTCCAAATTCTGGTTCTTAATCGCCTTACTATTACCAGCATTGCCTTTATTTTGGTGTTGTTTTACTCCAGACAGGTTTTGCTTTGTGGCCTGTGTTTGCGTGCATGCGTGTGTGTGTGTGTGTGTGTGTGTGTGTGTGTGTGTGTGTGTGTGTGTGTGTATTTGTGTGTGTGTGTACCCGGGTGGGAGGGTGCACGTGCATGAGTGTAGGCAAGCACGTGGAGACCAGAGGTTGATGTTGGTGTCTTCCTCAGTCACTTTAGTCACTTTAGTGTTTGGGACAGAGGCTCTTGCTGAAGTTAGAGCTCCCAGATTGTTAGAATGGCTGGCCACCAAGCCCTGGAGGGTCTCCTCTCCATAATCCCAGCGCTGGGATTACAGGTGTACACTGCCACATCCAGATTTTGTAGAGATGCTGGGGATCAAACTTGACTCTTCTGAGCCATCTCCCCAGCACTTTTACAGCATTTTTCTTATTTATTTATATATTTATTTACTTATTCATTTGAGATAGGGTCTCACGATGTAGCTGGGGCTAGCATGGAACTCACTATATATACCAGGCTAGCTTCAAATTTATAGAGATACGCCTGTTGTGAGATATTATTTTAAGATGTGCTACATTTGTTTATGCTGTGGAACATTTGTTTAATGATGCAAAGATTTGTTACTTTTGTTTATGTTGCATTTTGTTTAACTCTGTGAAGCTGTGTTACTGAGCCTGTCTGAAACGCCTGGTGGTCTAACAAAGAGCTGAACAGCTAACAGAGAGGCAGGAGAAAGGACAGGCGAGCCTGGCAGGCAGAGAGAATAAATAGGAAAAAATATGGGAAGAGGAGATCAAGGATCGAGAAAATGAGGAGAAGAGGACTCCAGGGGCCAGCCACTCAGCTACCTAAGCCATGGAGTAAGAAGTAAAGAAAGGTATATAGGATAAAAATAAAAGCCCAGAGGCAAAAGGTAGATGGGATCATCTAAGTTAAGAAAAGCTGGCTAGAAATAAACCAAGCTAAGGCCAGGGACTTGTAAGAAAGAATAAGCATCCATGTGTGTATTTATTGGGGAGCTGGATGATAAACCCCACAAAGAGCAGAGAACAAAGAATAAAGAGTAAAACAACCAACTACATATATCAGTCTTTGCCTTAGGAGCAAAAGGACGCACAACCCCATGCTCACTCAGCTCTTCGGTTTTGTTTTGTTTTGTTTTGTTTTGTTTGGTGTGTGTGTGGTGTGTGTGTGTGTGTGAGTGTGTGTGTGTGTGTGTGTGTGTGTGTCTGTCTGTCTGTCTGTCTGAGTCTGGATATGTGCACATGAGTGCAGTTGACCAAGAAGATCAGAAGAGGGTACTGGATCACCTGGAGTTAGAGGCAGTTGTGAACCAACAGACATGAATTCACGGAACTGAACTCAGGTCCTCAGCCAGAGCAGAACCTCATTCTTAACCACAGAGTCATCTCTCACGCAGCCCTATGACAGCATTTTTAAGCGGCAAATACATCAAGCCAACTTAACTTTTTATGGTCTTTTTGAGACAGGGTCTCTCCATGTAGCCCTGGCTGTCCTGGAACTCACTTTGTAGACCAGGCTGGCCTCAGACTCACAGAGATCTGCCTGCCCCTGCCTGCCTCCCCAGTGCTGGGATTAAAGGCGTGTGCCACCTCCAGCACGGCTAGTGTGTCAAATTCTTGACGGAGAAACAAAAAGCAAGAGAAAGAAATTGATTCCGAAAGCCATCTAAAATTTTAAATTACTGATTGAGTTGAGGGCACCTGTGTTAGTGAACTGCCGATGTGCAAAGGCTGTGAAACATGACAAGAGTCATTTGAATCATAGTGTTTCTTTACTTGTCAGTAAAATTTAGCCCCTTTAATGCACCCAGGGAAAAGGAATTAGGAGCACTGAGCAGAACCGTTGCCTTACTTTGAGATTCAGTCCCACTGAACACAAAAATCTGTCACTGCAGGATCCTAACTGCTGTCTCTACTTGCAGGCAAAATGAAAGACCGGCTTGCGGAGCTTCTGGAGTTGTCCAGGAGCTATGACCAGCAATTCCCAGACGGGGACGATGACTTTGACGCTCCCCACGAGGACATCGTGTTCGAGACTGACCACATCCTGGAGTCCTTGTACAGGGTCATCCAGGACATCCAGGAAGAAAACCAGCTGCTGATGATCGACGTGAAGCGCCTGGGGAGGCAGAACGTCCGCTTCCTCACGTCCATGCGGCGCCTCAGCAGCATCAAGCGCGACACCAACTCCATCGCCAAGGCCATCAAGACCCGGGGCGAGGGCATCCACCAGAAGTTGCGCTCCATGAAGGAGCTGAGCGAGCAGGCGCAGGCCCGGCACGGTGAGCACTCCGCGGTGGCACGCATCTCGCACGCACAATACAGCGCGCTGACCCTCGCCTTCCAGCAGGCCATGTACGAGTACAACCAGGCCGAGATGAAACAGCGCGACAACTGCAAGATCCGCATCCAACGGCAGCTGGAGATCATGGGCAAGGACGTGTCGGGCAAGCAGATCGAGGACATGTTCGAGCAGGGCAAGTGGGACGTGTTCTCCGAGAACCTGCTGGCCGATGTGAAGGGCGCGCGGGCCGCGCTCAACGAGATAGAGAGCCGCCACCGCGAGCTGCTGCGGCTGGAGGGTCGCATCCGCGACGTGCACGATCTCTTCCTGCAGATGGCCGTGCTGGTAGAGAAGCAGGCGGACACGCTGAACGTCATCGAACTTAACGTGCAGAAGACCCTCGACTACACGGGCGAGGCCAAGGCACAGGTGCGCAAGGCTGTGCAGTACAAGAAGAAGAACCCCTGCAGGACCATCTGCTGCTTCTGCTGCCCCTGCGTCAACTAGCAGCTGGCTTGGGTCTTCACCTGACCCGTGCGTGCCATGAAGGAAACGTGTCCAGGGTGCCAGCCAAAGGCATCCTGCCCTGGGCCGAGGGAGAGGATCCCGATGTCTGCAGAATTCAGAGCACAAAGAAAGTTGGGATTGGGATGCAAGATTTGGAACCCGGCACTTGTCCCGAAGGATGATTGCTAGCATCCAGTGCAGGCAGATTCCCACTGGAGTTGTGTGAGGTCGTTATAAGATTCCTAGCACTCAGCACCACGGGGAGGAACGAATGTCGTCGCTAAGGTCAATGTCTTGAAGACAAAAAGCAGGAAGTCAAATGAACGTACGCTAACAATATGAGCACATTATCAAAATTTGTCTTCGTTTGCCTTCTCTGGAAAGTTCCTTGGTGCTATTCGATTTTGAGTGGCATTCACTTGGGTATTTCTTAGTTCTTTCAAGGGGCACTGACCTTGGGTAAACTGGATTTCATTCACTTCTGATCATCTATTTATGCTGTGTGAGTCCTGCCTGTGTGGAAACCTTACCTCGACCCTCTTCCCCCACTTACTAAGCCACACTGGACACATACGATTTCCTTATCTCTCTCACCTTTTATAACTTCCACAAGTTATGTATATATACATACTCATATATATATATACTCATATATATGAATAACTTTTCCAGATATTTTAAGCACCAAATACTGAACAAGCACCCAAGTTGGACTCTTTTTTTTTATCACTCACGTTTTATGTATTTTTCACAGATAACATTTATTTAAAATTTATCTTTGTACTTAATTTCATATGAATATATGTGTAAATGCAAACTAATATTCGCTCACTTGTGTACATAATGGCCCATTGGATTAACTTGGCTTTTGTAAATTCTGTATTTAAATAATAAGAGCAGTTTTTGTGAATGTTGCCTTGATTGTTTTGAGTGTATTTCGTTCCTGACTGCAGGGTCCACTTGGGGTCAAACTTTATTTTCAGCAACTGTGTGCTGTCATGAGTGAAGATCAGTGGGGAAGTTTGAAAACACATGACACAATTAGAGGTACTAAAATCATGTTCTTGGAAACAATAATTGATCTTACTGTGAACCATTCCTTACAGACATTAAAGCAGAGAGATTTAAAGTGAAATCCCATTTTTCAAATAAACATGACACTATAACTATCTTTTTCTGTTTGTATCTTGACCCATTGAAGATAATTGTTATTTTTTTCAATTATTGTTAAACTTCCCCCCCACCCCCAACTACAATAGGTGCATGAAACTCGCAGCAAAAGAATTTCTGTCACGGTGCCCTGAGTTACCTTTTTCAGGTTTTAGAGATTTGCTTCCACTTGAAAACTTTGAGGTGATGTTCCAGACCTTGGTCACCACACTACCAGTGTGTCTCCTGAATGCACTCTGAATTCCTTCTACATGCGTGATTTCAGTTGGGAGTCATCTATCTTGAGTTCCTAAGAAGATACATATTTTTATTTATTTATTTAATTTATTTGAGTCAGGGTTTCGCTGTGTAGCTCTGGCTGTTCTGGAACTCGATTTGTAGACCTGAGTTCCTAAGAAGATATAAATTTTTATTTATTTATTTAATTTATTTGAGTCAGGGTTTCACTGTGTAGCTCTGGCTGTTCTGGAACTCGATTTGTAGACTAGGTTGGCCTTGAACTCACAGAGGTCTGCCTGCCTCTGCCTCCTGAGTGCTCAGATTAAAGGTGTGTACCACCATTGCCCAGAAAAGGTACAGTTTTAAAAGAGAAGAGGAATAGGAGCTCTTTGGGGATCACTGATCTATTTGTGAGTGAGAAAAACTAGCCTGCCGGGGTCCAACCTCAGTACAGGTTCAGGTCCGGAAGCTGGGAAGGGGTATCAATGCAAGGAAAACTTCTGACCACCAAGAAGATTGCACTCGGCCGGGCGGTGGTGGCGCACGCCTTTAATCCCAGCACTCGGGAGACAGAGCCAGGCGGATCTCTGTGAGTTCGAGGCCAGCCTGGGCTACCAAGTGAGCTCCAGGAAAGGCGCAAAACTACGCAGAGAAACCCTGTCTCGAAAAACCAAAAAAAAAAAAAAAAAAGAAGATTGCACTCAAGTGGCCCCAGGCCATCTTTATTTATACTTAAACAGTATTTTTTTTTTTTAAACTAAGGTTACAGGAACAGCTTTATTATTGGCTTCTTCTTTTTTTTCTTTCTTTTTCTTTTTTTTCCCCCAAGACAGGGTTTCTCTGTGGTGTTTTGGATCTCACTTGTAGACCTGTAGGCCTGTCCTGGATCTCACTTTGTAGACCAGGCTGGCCTCGAACTCACAGAAATCCACCTGGCTCTGCCTCCAGAGCACTGGGATTAAAGGCGTGCGCTGCTGCTGCCACCGCCGCCGCCGCCGCCGCCGCCGCCACCCGGCCACTTCTATTTTTTACTTTAAGAAATACATCACAATTTAAGGAACCCATTATGATCATTATGAAAGCCCCCATTGTTCCCCTTTCTGCCTCCCCTGTTGAATCAATCTTAGGGGAAAATATTTGAGAAAGAACAGAATTTCCAGGGTAAATTACAGCTATTGCTTGTGTAACTGACAAAGTAAAACTAAAAACCACCCAAAGAATCACCAATATAATGAAAGAGAAAAGAGGAGCCTGCAAGCTACACGAATTTTGCAAATTCCTAAGCTGCCCTGAGGATTACTGGTCCTTGCCAAGTGAGAATCCATTCCTTGCCCTCAGGAAACCCACTGGTCAGGGAGTCACCTGCCGATCTGAAACTAGGCCGCACAGCTCCCAATACTAGCCCTGGGGATAGTTTTGCTTTCATAGTTCGATATGAGAACTGTACGAAGTGAGCCCCTCCCCCACCCTCTTCTTCTTAGACTTGTCTGGTTTCTTTATCAGCTAACTACTGGGGTGTTCCCCTTTCACTAAAGGAGAGAGGGGAGCTTCCACACAGTCCCAGTACCCAAGGTTTTTGGGGGTTTTTGTTTTGTTTTGGTTTTTGGTTTTTCGAGACAGGTTTTTGTAGTTAGAGTTTTCCTGCCTTGCCCACAGTCAGGACAAATCTTTGTCACCCGCCAGTCCCACAGCCACTCAGACCCAACCAAGTAAACACAGAGACTTATATTGCATACAAACTGTATGGCCGTGGCAGGCTTCTTGCTAACTGTTCTTATATCTTAAATTAACCCATTTTTATAAATCTATACCTTGCCACGTGGCTGGTGGCTTACCAGCGTCTGTCTTTACATGCTGCTTGTCCTGGCTATGGCTGCAGTGTCTCTCCTCCTTCTTCCTGTTTCCCCAATTCTCCTCTCTCTTTGTCCCGCCTATACTTCCTGCCTGGTCACTGGCCATCAGTGTTTTATTTATATAGAGTGATATCCACAGCAGTTTTCTCTGTGTAGTTTTGGTGCCTGTCCTGGAGCTCGCTCTGTAGACCAGGCTGGCCTCGAACTCACAGAGATCAGCCTGGCTCTGCCACCCAAGTGCTGGGATTAAAGGTGTGCTCCACCACTGCCTGGCTTCCAAGTTTTTATTGTAGATAAAAGAGTCTGTCTATGGAAACCAGCTATTTTCTGCAAGAAGGAACAGTCCATAAATTTATTTGAACTCTGGAAGAATTTCCTTCCTTCCTTTCTTTTTTTTTTTTTTGTCTCTCTCTCTCTCTTTTTTTTTAGAACCATTATGAAAGTAAACAATTTTCTGTGTCTGCATAATTCTTTTTTTTTTTTCTGAGACAAAGTCTCACTATATAGTCCCAGCTGGCTTGGTACTTACTATGTAGGCCAGAGTGGTCTTAAACTTCCTCCTGCCTCTGCCTCCTCAGTGCTGAGATTAAAGTCATGTGCCACCACATCTGGGTAGAACACTTTTTTTCCTAACTAATCCTATTGATAAAGCTGTTTCCACAGTGGTAACTATTCTAATCCTGCTTGCTTCTAGTGGACCCTGCTGTTCTGTTGTATTCTGTTCTGTTATCATACCCACATGAAATCAGTTACACAGTTTGGCTAGGACTTGTTCCTGAGAGTCTTCCCAACACACAATCATAGGCTCCACGAGGCACTCTGGGAAGTGACGGAGGCTGGAGCACAGACCTCAGGGGAAGGCATCAGTTACCTCTCCCACACCCTCCATAACACCCCCCAGCCCCTCCAGGAGCTGATAATGAAAGTCCAGCTTTGTCCTTTGGAAAGGGTGCTCAGTCTTACGAGAGGTGATATAGGGTTAGTTCCTGCCCCCTGGACATTCACTTGGCAGACTCTGGAAGGTGACATGGGACAAGACCTTGTGGTGATGCTACAGACTTCAAATAGTAATGCCAGTTTGTGTGTGGCATGAAGGAAAAGGTCACAATGAAAATTCTTTTTTAATATTTGTTTATTTATTTGTTTGTTTGTTTACTTATTTGTTTATTATGTACACACTCGCCAGAGGAGGGCACCAGATCTCATTACAGATGGTTGTGAGCCAGCATGTGGTTGCTGGGAACTGAACTCAGGTCCATCAGGAAGAGCAGGCCGTGCTCCTAACCTCTGAGCCATCTCTCCTGCCCCCAGAATGAAAATTCTTAAGAGCAGAAGATGGGCCCAGTGAGATTGCTCAGCAGATAAAAGCGCTTACCTCAGTTTGGTGACAAGAGTGCCATCCCTAGAGCCCATAATGGCAGAGAGAACTGACTCCCACGGGATGTCTACTTATTTCTCTCTCCTTTCTCTCTCTCACACACACACCACAAAAATATATTTTTTAAAGCAGAGGGTGAACATCTGAAATCATACATTCATTTTTCTTCCCTTTCTTTCTTTCTTTCTTTCTTTCTTTCTCTCTCTCTCTCTCTCTCTCTCTCTCTCTCTCTCTCTCTCCCTCCCTCCCTCCCTCCCTCCCTCCCTCCCTCCCTTCCTTCCTTCCTTCCTTCCTTCCTTTCTGACAGGCCCTTATTATGTAGCTCACACTAGTCTCAAACTCATGATCCTCTGGCCTTGGCATACTGAGTGCTGGTAAACTGTTTTAACATACATAATTGCTACTTCTGAGTAGCTAAATGCTAGAAATTTTAGATATAGCCAAGCAGACTAACACAGCAGGTTATAGGTGAAAACTCCAGAAATGAACAGCAAAGCTCCTCATTGAGGATGTATTTGTATACACAATAATATGGGTAAAATGTTTCTGGAGCCATTCATTCAAAATATTTATGCTCAAGTCACAGAAGGTATTTGGTTCTCCATGATAGCAATTTGGAAAGAGCATGTTGCTTTTTTTTTTTTTTTTTTTTTTTTTGTACCGGTGCCCTTACATTTGCTTAAAAACAGTATCTACAAGGCCCGAGGTTCAAGCCCCCAATATTCCCCCCTAAAATACCTGGCTTAGGGTTTTCATTGTTGTGCAACTTGGGGAGGAAAGAGTATTTCAGCTCAGGTTACACTCCATCACTGAGGGAAGTCAGGGCAGGAATTCAAGGAAGGAGCCTGGAGGGTGGAAATGAAGCAGACGCCATGGAGGAGTGCTGCTTACTGTCTCCTTCAGCCTGCTTTCTTATACCATAAAGACCACCCGCCCAGGGATGGCATTACCCACAGTGCGCTGGACCCTTCTCTATCATTAAACAAGAAAGTCCCTTCACAGACTTGCCTATGGGTCAATCCAATGAGACATTTTCTCAGTTGAGATTCCCTCTTCCTAGATAACTTGATCTTCTGTAACATTAAAAAAAAAAATAAGCAAACAAAAAAACTAGCAAGAACAATACCCACAGTTTCAAGTGAAATGTCATATGTAAATATGTAGATGTAACCAAATTGTTAAATAAGAAACACAGAGCCAATGCAGAGATGACAGTCCAAGAGGTCAGAGTAATAGCTAAGTGCTAAAAACCCTACCCTTCACTGCTGCTCCTGTCCTTCCCTCAGCAAGAACGCTACTTCCTGTGTTTCTGCCTTTTTATAGATGTTCTATTCTGCCTTCTCATTGGTTGTAAACCCAACCATATGACCTCCTTGTCACTGCCCATCTATATAGACCTCCAGGTCTTTGATGGTTGGTATTGAGATTAAAGGCGTGTGTCTCCATGCTGGTGGTGTCCTTGAACACTCAGAGATCTGCCTGTCATGTGATCGGGATTAAAGGTGTGTGCTACCACTGCCAGACTTCTGCTATGGCTTGCTATTAGCTC